GGTTGTGATTCCCACCCTCCCTTTGGTTTTTTGTTCCTTCCTTCCTTTCTTCCTTCCTTCCCTCCTTTTCTCCCTTTTTCATTATTTCCTTTCCTGTCCTTCCTGCTTCGCTCGACTCTCATGTCCGTTGTTCCACTTTTTCTCCTTCCTTCCCTTCTTTTTTCACTTTTCTTTTTCCTTCTTTCCTTCCTTCCTCCTTCTTTTTTCAGTCTTCCCTTTCTCTTACTTTTTCCTTCCTACTTCTCTCCATTCTCATCTCCATCCTTCCTTCCCTCCCTCCCTCCTCCCTCCCTCCTCCCTTTTCTCACTTCCATCTCCTTCCTTCCTTCCTTCCTTCCTTCCTTCCTTCCTTCCTTCCTTCCTTCCTTCCTTCTTAGCTTCCTTCCTTCCTTCTTTCCTCCCTCCCTCCCTCCCTCCTTTTTTCATTCTTCCCTTTCCTCTTTCTTTTTCCTTCCTATTTCTCTCCACTCTCATCTCCTTCCTTCCCTCCCTCCCTCCCTCCCTCCTGTCATTTTGCAACCCCCAAGAAGTCCCCTATCATGGTCCCCTAGCCATGATTCCTTGTTTGCTTGTTCTTGCCCTTTCTCTTTCTTCCCAAATGGGCACCTCGATTGTGATTCCCACCCTCCCTTTTGCCTTTCCTTAATTCTTAATTTTCCTTTATTTCTGTTTACATTAGGGGTGTCAAAACTCAATTTCACTGAGGGCCGCATCAGCATTGCGGTTGCCCTCGGGGAACGGGGCGGGTGGGTGCAGCCTACTGGGTGGGCGTGGATGGAGTGGGTGTGGCCTACTGGGTGGGCGTGGTTTTGGCAGGCAGCGGGGCGCTCTCCTCACAGCGCCGAGAGGTTGAGCCGGGCGTTGCGAAGCTCGCCAGCTTTGCGCCATGCTGCCTGCTGAAACTGGGCAGGCTGGGGGCTGGGCAGCATTGCACTTCTCGTCAGATTCGCGCCACCCGGCTCAGCTCTTGGCGCTGTGAGGAGAGCGCCCCGCTGCCTGCTGAAACCGGGCAGGCTGGGGGCTGGGCAGCCTCGCGTTTCTTTTTGGATTTGCGCCGCCCAGCTCAGCCTCTTGGTGCTGTGAGGAGAGCGCCCCACTGCCTGCCGAAACCCGTCCCCCGGAGCCCATCAAGCCGGATAGGTGAAGTAGGCGAGGGCCATTTGCTGGCCACTTCCAGGTGACGGTGCATTTCTTCATTCCTCACAAAGGGTGACACCTCTCCAACATGCATCCAGGGGGCGGGACCGACGCGGCAGGGGCTGGTTCCTCGCTGATTCCGGACGGCCTTGTGGAGCTAAGACTGAATGTGTTTCAGCATAGATGGCCACCACAAAATTGTACATTGGCTCCCAGCTGGCCTGGGCCAGGGCCAAGGCAGCAGGGGCCGTTCCCTCACTGTTTCCAAGATGGCTTCGCGGGCCGCATGAAACCACTTCGCGGGCCACATCCGGCCCCCGGGCCTTGTGTTTGACATGTCTGGTTTACATCAATCGCAGGGATTATTTAGTGCAGGGCTTTTCAACCAGTGGTACGGGTACTACCTGTGGTACATTGGCACCTAGCAGGTGGTACGCGAGCATCCTAGAAAAGTGGTAGCGGGGGAGGGGAATGAGCTGAACCGGTGGCAGCACCGCACAAGCCTGAGCGAGAGACGGCTGGAGCTGCAGGGCTGTCAGGGCTCAGCGGAAGCGCCAGGATCAGCGCCAGGCTCCAGCTGGAGCTTGGAGCTGATCCTGGTGCTTCTGCTGAGCCCAGAAGCGCCGATCAGCTGGAATGTTGCAGCCTCTCCAGGGTCTTGTGATTTACATTCAGATGCTTGGCAACTGATTCATATTTATGACGGTCACAGTGTCCCAGGGTCATGTGAAGTGACCAAAACCTGCTGCAACCACCCAGCAGATGGGGGAATAAAAACCAAACACCCCCCACTCCACCCCCGCTGCCAATCCTCAACAGAAACACTCACAACAATGGAAACCTCGGACAGGAGGAAGAGCGCCTCTGGGTGGGCAGGCAGGTGTCTTGCTCGGCTGTGCCTTGGGGGGCACTTTTTTCAGTGCCATTGTAACTTCGAACAGTCACTAAGCGAACTGTTGTAAGTCGAGGACTACCTGTACTTTATGACTTTTTCCTTTTTTTTTTGGTCATCAAGTTTTTGACACCTTGCTAGGTGACTGGTGGTACTCAGATGTTGCCATATCCTAAAAGTGGTACAATGGGTGAAAAGGTTAAAAAGCCCTGATTTAGTGGAAGGAGCAGAGAGCAAATAAATGCCGGAGGAAAACCACATGTCCTTGGGGTGCAACGGTTGTAAGGGTGAAAATTGTCACAAGTCATTTTTTTCAGTGCTGTTGCAACTTCGAATGGTCACTAAATGAAACGGTTGTAAATTGAGGAGCACTTGTTCTTTACAGCTAAAATATCCTTAAAAATTCCAGGGTGGCTGTCAACGATGGAGGCATTTGTACATCCGAACTTGGTAGATTTTGAAAAAATATGGGCACATAGAGATATTCTAAATATTGATGGGAATTTAAAATCTAAGCAAGAACTGGAAAATCGGGATCAATCTGTCATGGTGGGCATATTTACAGATACAAAATAGATATGAAAAAGACGTGAAACTATGGATTCTATAAAGATCAAACTGTATTTGATAAGATTTTGTTAACCTCAGATGAGAAATTGATTAAGAAAATGTATAATTTTTAGTTAATTTTGGAAATGGAAAGGGAACAAGTTAAAGAAACAATGATAAGATGGGCAAAAAACTTTGGCTGCAATATAGAATTAGAAAAGTGGCAAAAGCTATGGGAGAGAAATGACAAATTAACAATGTCAACTTTGTATAAAGACAACTTATATAAAATACTTTATAGATGGCACTTTTCCACCAGCAAGATTAGCAAAAAATGTTTAAAAGTATGTCAGATAGATGCTGGAAATGTAAGCACAACTCAGGCACGTACTATCACATTTGGTGGACATGTGGCAAACTAAAGCTTATTGGAAAAAGATACATGCTTGGTTAGAAAAAAATATGAGGTGAACATGTTGATTTTAAACCTGAACTTTTCTTACTAGGTATCATGCCTGAAAAGATCAATAAGCAAAGTCTATATTTGATTTTACACGTCACCACAGCAGCGAGAATCATCTTTGCGCAATATTGGAAGAACGAAGAAATAACCAGAAAAATATTGGAATGCGCAGAGGTGGACAGATTAACTATGAGACTGAAAGACAAAGAAGACACAGACTACTAGCAAACTTGGGACTTGTTTTATTGTTGGTTAGAGGAAAGAATGAAGGATTCGGAATTGAATATGTATTAGCATAGCTGAGCTCAGACAGCTCGTGGGTTGAAAAATTAACATATGTATGTAAAAGAAAACCAATAAACTCTTTATGAAGTCCAACCGTCTTAAGGCATACCAGCTGAGCAGGTTGGAAAAAGACCCGTCCTGAAGCTTTAGCAGGGACACAGTTGGGATCCGTTGAGGGAAGTTGCAACTTGGCCATTCAAACTTTTCGGGAAAGCGCAGACAACATCCTGCTTGGAGAACAAATCAACGTCGCCTCCCTGGACCCAGTTTAAGAGAGCGTGCATGCGGCAGTCACACGCCCATGGGTTTCCGGAAAGATCAAGAGTGAAATCGGAAGACACGTTGACGAATGAAGGCTCCAGGGCGGTGATTTCGTTGGCGGAGAGATCCAATCGTCCCAGACGGTTCAATGGCTGGAAGAGCCCAACTGGAACGTGAGTCAGGCTGCAGTTCCTCAGGGAGAGCACCCACAGCCCGGAATTCCTGTGGAAAGTATTGGGGGCGATGGACCGGATTGGGTTATTCTTCAGGTTTAAAACATTTAAATAGGGAAGGCCTTTGAACAACTTTGGAGACAGACAATGGAGGAGATTGGAGGACAGGTCCAGAGAGAGGAGCATCGTCAGCTTCTGGAAGATGGAACCTGGGATCTCCTTCAGCTCATTGTGGTCGAGGTACAAGAACTTGAGGTCCTCCAAGGTTTCGAACCAGGAGGGGTCCAATTCAGCTAGCTGGTTTTTACTGAGGGATAAATAGGCCAGGCTAATTGCGTGGGTGAAGATCTCCGGAGGCAGATCTTTTAGGAGATTTCTGGAGAGATCCAGGGTGTGCAGTTGGGGGAGGTTACGGAAGAGGCCACTCGGAAGGGTCTTCAGCTGGTTGTCCGACAGATGAAGCCCCTGTAAGTTTGGAAGACCCTGGAGGGCCTCCGAACCAAGGCTAGAGAGCTGGGTGAACTGAACGTAGACCGTCTGGGTATCATTGGGGAAGCCGGTGGGAAATTCACGGAGAGAGGAAGAGTTGCAGACCACTCTTTTTTCTGAAGGAGGAAGAGGCAGGCAGTGAGGGAGCTGCTTGGCGAAGCTGCTGAGGGACATCACAAGGCAGGCAA